TTGGACTCAATGATGAACAAATTAGAATTTGATGGTCATGGGTCAAAGGCCAAGGTCACTGTGACCTCATCTGTCTCATGCTTGTGAACGCAATATCTCAAGCATGCTTTGAGAGAACTTCAAATTTGGCACAAACCTCCTCTTGTACTTAACAATGAACTGAATAGATTTTGGTGGTCAGAGATCAAGGTCACTATAACCTTGCACCTGTGTCATTTTCATAAATGCGATATCTCAAGAACACCTCAAAGGAATTTCTTTAAATTTGCCACAAACGTTCACTTGAATGAATTGATAACAATTTGTTGGTCAAAGGCCAAGGAGACTGTAGCCTCAAAAAAATGTTTTTGGACATAATTTAAGACTTTATGTGCTAATTATAGCAAAACTTTACAGAAAATATCTCTTCGTAATTCAGGAACAGAAGGGGAGACATTTGCTTGGATACTGAATTGGTGACTCTAATCTTTGGTCTCCATCTTGAAACTGATTGTGCTGATTGTATAGATGTTCTGTGTGGTCTGGGGGACATTTGTGGGAAGCATCCATGTTTTGACAGACATGGATGTAAAACTGTGAGTTCAACTTGTAGTAATTCTAGATCATTAATTTTTATGGACATTTATGCCTTTACTTTACTTGATAGTGATGGTGCAGAGAGGGTTGGGGATGCACCCTAACCACTCGGCTGTCGGGTCACCCTGTAAAGGATACCTCTGCTGTGAACTGTCTTGTTTGTGTTGAATAATGTTTTTTATTATGTGGGGTCTAATGTGCTGCTGTGTAGTAGCTTTCAGTGTCATGTGTAATTGGTTTCTAGGTTAATAATTAACGTGGCCAGCCTGAACCTCACACTGTGTGGCTGGGGGTTGCCAGGTTCATTGCTAATGTCACCAGAGGAGTGTGAGAGGTTTCCACAGACATCACGCTGTGTTCAACAGTAGCGTAAGCTTTATTAATGCAGTGGAAATATATCATGTAGCTGCAGTTTTGGTGGGTGATTTTTTTTATTTATTGTGTTGTGTTTAATGGCGGTCAGGTGCTTTACAGTTGTGAAAACTCTTAAATACAAAGTTGTTCCAGGAGAAATCATAATGTATTAGCCTCTGAAATTCTAATATTTGGTAATTATTCATTTGCTTTGCATATAACTAAACAGCTTGCTCAGATACATTAGCGATGTTTAACTCTGGACATTTTCCATTTTCTACTAGGAACCTTATTTGACTGCAGTAACTGATTCTGATGCCCTGTTGCATTGTGTTAATTAGGTTTTAAGTGGTTTAATCTCTCAAAACATGTCCTCAAACTACCTGTCTTGTAGACAGAAAACAAGAAAGATGCACAGAAAGTTCACAGTGCGTCATAGCTCAAACTACAAACTTGTCTTAATCTAAGAGTCAACAAAAACATAACAAAGTTAAACAAAGTCTTTTGAAACCCAGAATCCATGTCGGTCCTCTGCCAGGTCCTGTATGAGACGCTCAGATAATAATGAATGGAAAAATGTCTCTAATCCAGCCAGTTGGAGTATAAACAAAGCCTGCAGCTGGACAAGAGTGACGCGGGACACCAGTGATTACAGGCTGATGAAGCTTGTCAGGTGGTTTGACATGCAGAATCATAGTGATCACTGCAGTGAATGGAGAGGAGCTGTATTAAAGTGTAGAGCTTAAAGTGCACACAGCCAAACGAACGATACCATCACTGTCAGTACAGTGACGTGTCGTGTGTAACTACACGGACTGTAGCCAGTGATTCTGATGGTTCCACCCCATCAGAGATAAAGTTTTGATTCCATTGCCTAATCACCAGCCTGTTTTTATTACGGCTAATGTGTTAGCAAAAAGCGTCCTATCTACACACTGCACGGTAGCACAGACTCAGATTTACATTACCATCCTGTTAGAGTTGTGTTTTGCCTCATTTGCACTGCAGAGTTCAGCTTGACTCGGCCTGACTCAATTCACTTTTGGTACCAGAGACCAGCTGCACAAAACACCTTAAAGGGATAGTGCACCCAAAAATGAAAATTCAGCCATTATCTACTCACCCAAATGCCGAGGGAGGCTCAGGTGAAGTTTTAGAGTCCTCACATCACTTACGGAGATCCAAGGGGAGAGGAGGTAGCAACACAACTCCACCTAATGGAGGCTGACGGTGCCCCAGATTCAAACGTCCAAAAACACATAATTGAAACCACAAAATATCTCCATACTGCTCGTCCGTAGTGATCCAAGTGTCCTGAAGCCCCGACATAAAAAGTTGTCGCACACACGTGAGCGCGGTGCACAGAGAGGCAGTTAGAGCTACAGGCTACAATGAGGCTAAAAACGGAGTTCAAATGACGTTTTTGGACGTTTGAATCTGGATCGCCGTCAGCCTCCATTAGGTGTGCAGTTGTGTTGCTACCCCCTTCCCCCTCGGATCTCCATAAGTGTTGTGAGGACTCTAAAACTTCACCAGAGCCTCCCTCAGCATATGGGTGAGTAGATAATGGCTGAATTTACATTTTTGGGTGCACTATTCTACTAGTTTTCTCCTCAAGTATGAGACTTAAGACTTGATTTCCTCTGAGCTGAGGAACTTACACAGCCACACAGAATCCCTTGAAAGGTTTCCTTAGTTAAGGAAAAACATTAACTCATTTACTGCATTGTCAGAACTTTTACAGCTTGTTATCGTCCCACAAAGTTGGCTTATAGTTAGATAGTGAAAAAATGGCAGAAGAAAAGAAGACAAGAAAACCATATTGGTCAGAGGAGGAAAAGATCATAGTTCTGGAGGAATACAATCATAGAGAGCACAAACTACAAAGTAAATTTGATCGCAGATACCAGGAAACAGAAAACAGTTGTTGAAAGTAAACAGTAATTCAGTCAGAATCATAAGTGTAAAATCAAAAGCGTATCCAATCGAGTTCTCCTGGTCGCGAAACACTTTTCTTGGGATGTATTCGTTTTTTTAATTTATCACCATAAACTCACTCATGTTGCACTTAAGATAGAGTCAGGGGTACCTTAAGTTTATTTTATTACCTTGCTTTGGTTGCTAAGGTCTTTTGTGCAATGGTCTCTGAATTCCTAAAGTATGAAACCACCACGAGGAGAAAACCACAAATACTTAAGTGAACATTTTAAGGAAATATTAAGGAGAAGACTTAAGGGTGTTTTGTGCAACCAATTTTATTATGAGGCAACCTTAACTATGACTTTAAGGAAATTCTTAACTTAAGGTGTTTGGTCCTTTACTCTATTTTGTTTTCCATTGCAAACAGTACCCCTCAGTGTAGGCGGGACTCTCAGCTGTGTAAAACTACGGTGACATCTTCAGTGAGACACATGCTCTTTTTACTGGCAACCAAACAGAGGAACATCTGCACTTTGTCATTTGGCCTACGGCATAGTTTTGCTGGTAGCTAGGCTATTTAAAAATGGCGGGTTTGTGCAGGATGTCCTGATGATTCTTTCTGACCAATCAGTGGTCTTCAGTGTTTCAGCTCCTCTGTCTAGTGTCGGCTCGCTACCAAAAGATTCCATTTACAACTTTTGCTGATAGAAAACGTAAAAAAAAAGGCGAGTAGAGCTGAATGGTGGCGTGCCATACCATGCAGCAGAAATGTGTCCAATGTTTACTCTCTTTTAGCTCTGTTTTTGGTCTCCACCAACTTCTGAGGGAATGATTTGTCTCTCTAAATGCTAAATACTTTCTCCACCACCTAGTCTTTAACTGTGTCTCTGCTGCTGAGCCGGTTTTGCACTGTGAGTTTATCAGAGCGTGTTTGATGCAAATAGGTTTGATAAGAGCGGGTAGACTGAACCAAACAATTAAGTTATCACTCTAAAACCAAAACATTGAACTAAAAGACTGCAAAATGCTCAGTAGAGCCGAGGGCAGTCAAGTAAAACATTAAACATTAACACATTAAATTCATTGGATCCATTTTTATTGTAAGAATATTGTTTAGTGCAGCTTTAAAGTTTGCCCAAAAACAGTAACAGTGTTTCCTAATATGTTTGGTCATATGCAGATTTTGACTAAGGCATTTACTTGATGCCAGTCATGTTACTGTTTCCTCTCAGTCAAAACGCTGTTATGTGATCAGTCTGTTTTGTTTGCTGCTCAGATTCAACTTTAGCTCCACTACATATTTTATCTTCTGTCATGCGTCATCACTGCACTTTGTTGCAGTCTTCAGTCTTGGCGAATAAGATGATGCTGTTCCTGTCATATTGATCTTCATGTGTGATTTGAAGGCATGTTGGTGTGTTTCTGATTTCTAATCAGCAGTGTCCAGTGTGCCATCTAGTGGCTGAGGGCTGTAACATTTACCTGTCAGCTGCGTGTGTGAAAATGACATGTGTGTGCTTCAGCCATGAGTCAGCCATCAAGACCGAATTTACGTTTCACCCAGTTTGTTTGGACTGATCGTGAGTTTAAACCTGCAGCACAAACAACCTGCAGGAAAAGACACACAGTCTCCCCTTAAATTAAAAAAAGACTCACTATGCTCACACACAGCGTTCAGATGTTTGGACAAACTGAGATCAGACTCATGTCACACTTTCTCTGCTCCGATCTAAAATCTGAAAAGATACTGATACTGATTTTTTATGGTGGAACTTTTTTTATGTGTGTAAAATATGTTTGTTTTTTTTGCAGACCCCTCCACATGGTAGATTGCTAAGCTTCTGTGTGTGACTCCCACTACTTCTGCTTCTATAGTTATCACTACCAATAATATTACTTCTGTTCTGGCTGCTGCTACAACATCTGCTAGCACAGAAAATGCTACTTCATCAAAAATAAGAAGAATATTCACGCCTCTATGTTTGATAACAAGGACAACAAATAAAGGGAAAAGAAATTATTATATTGCGATTTCCCACTACCTTTGTTGGGAACTAATTTCCTCTTCTCTACAGGGAGGCCAGTGCCTTGCTTAAGGGCACTTAAGAAGATCAATAGTCTAACCACTTGTGTGTCTTATTCCCCCTCAGTGGAGAGAGCGGCGCCGGGAAAACAGAAAGCACCAAGCTGATCCTGAAGTTCCTGTCGGCCATGAGCCAGCACTCCCTGGAGGTATCGTCCAGAGACCGGACGTCACATGTGGAGGAGGCGCTGCTGGAGAGCAGGTAATTAGTCATCTTATTTAGAGTTAACTATTTTAGCTAGATAAGAGTTTAATTTCCAGCAAAGCCTCGTTTGTCATCTCGTTAACGCTCCCGCTCCCTCTCCACTCCACAGTCCCATCATGGAGGCATTTGGAAACGCCAAGACCGTCTACAACAACAACTCCAGCCGCTTTGGGAAGTTTGTCCAGCTGCATTTCAGCCAGAAGGGCAACATCCAGGGAGGCCGAATCATTGACTGTATCCTTTAAAACCCACTCAGTGTTAAGTGGCTGCCACTTCCTGTCCTCCATCTTCCATCATTTCCTACCCAGGCGTAATATACAGGAAGGAAGTACTTGAAAGGGTTGGCAGAGCTGCTTTAAAGGGTAAAGACATGGAGGAGCCGCTGCCTCTCAGACATTTTCAGTGAGAACTGTGAGTCCTTTATGAGGAGCATGAGGACCACAGGTGGTGACGGACATCTTGTCAGTGTAGAGAACATGAACAATAATTACTGTATTTTGCTGCTTTTTTTTAATCTATAACAAACAACCTGTTACTTGTGTGCTCAAGTATATGGCCATTACTAATCATTCTTTATCATGCATAACTGTGGTGTTCGCCTAGAGCTAACTAGCTTGCAAACTCCACCTGCTATGTGCCTTGACTGACACTTTCCGAACCTCAGACCTCTTAGAAAAGGTGAGTGTCCTTCCTCCTACCAAATCTGTAATTGCATTTACCTTTAAAGTGACGCTCCATCAAAATCTACTGTCAAAGCTCCTGTAGGCTTCAACGGTTGCTGTGCAAAAACTGCACCCTCCACAAACAGCAGCGCTCATGTTGTAGAAGTTAAAACGTATAGTCCAAACACTCATCACTTTGAAAAAATAAGATTTAAGACAGAGATTCTGAAGCTTAAAAACGGTGATTAAGACGTGGATAATGCTGCCCCAAGTGGTTTGAATGACCACAGAGTTCATTCTCTGTTTAGCATGACACTAGAAATATTTTAGTATTAGTGCCTGATGCTCAGATTGTATATTTTGATTGGAGTGCCACCGTAAGAACGTGTGTGTGTTTGTTTTGATGAATAAGAGTACTTAATAGCAGTGCTTCTCTTTTCATGCAGAACCGAGTGGTCCGGCAGAACCCAGGGGAGAGAAACTACCACATTTTCTACGCCCTGTTAGCAGGAACCAACAGCCAGCAGAGAGGTTAGTCCCACTCAGTTACATGACTGAATTCCATGTGTCTATTTACAGACCGTACAACTGCAAGATGGTGCATACTAGAGCAAAAAATACTCAGTCCTGACCCTGCATGATCCTGCATAGTTTTTGTGTAGCCAACATTTGTATGTAGGGCTCGTGTGGTTAGTAAATGGGCTAAAAAAAAAGGTCCCTATTTGGGATTGTCTGTGGTTTTCATATTTGCGCCATGCCAATTTCCCACATGGGTGGGTTTACTTACAAATAAAATACCCATTCTGAGCACCTATACCCGTTTGATTTCCAGGTAGCTCTAGCATAACCCCTGTTGGACCCCCTTTAGGTGAACCCACCCATGTGGGCAATTGGCATGGGGCTAATATGGAACCAATGGACAATCCCATATAGGGCCCATTTTTCAGCCCATTTACTACCCACATTGGCCCCACATTGAAATGTTGGCTGCAGAGCTTTAACCAGAGCAGCAGTTTTGGGCCCAAGCCTGATTGAAAACTTGAAAAAAAATTCGTATAAGACATTTATTACAAGCTGAAGTCAACGTTGGTCTTGTCAGTGCAGTAACAGACACTGACACGATGTCCAACATGCACATTCTCCTACCAAATGTTCAGGACAGCCATATTTCTCCTATTTAATGAGAGGCACAAGTGGGGTTGGTTTGATGGCATTACAACCCATTCATAATTCATGACATTACTCACCACAAAATAACCGCAAATTTGAAATGAACCTGACCTGATTCTAGCCTGCAGGAATTTTGAGAGGCCCGAACCTGATGCACTAGGTCAGGGCCAATCAGGTTCAAGCAGATAATCAAAGCTCTAGTGCATCCAGGAGAGAAGGGCAATGTAAACACAATAAAACAGTACTATGAATAGTGATATATTATTTGGCATTAAAATCACAGTGTGTATTTGTAATTGTGCTTGTTTGTGTTGTTGCAGAGGCATTCGGGTTGACCCAGCCTGAGAGCTACCACTACCTGAGACAGTCCCACTGCCTCACCGACAAGACAATCAACGACAGTGGCACTTTCCAGGATGTTCTGGTACGCAGGACCCAACCAGCTTTATCACTAAAACATTTACCTGTACATTCACACATCGGCTCTGCTCATTCATTTAAGGCTGAAGGCCACAATTATCATATGGTCATTTGCACATTATATGTTGTATTCCAAGAACATTTGACTTGATTTCCCACATATATTTGCATACATTATATTTCTCAGTGGAACACATTTATTCATTTACTTGTTACCATAAATCAGAGTCAGAATCAGTCCCTGAATATTTGATCCTGGTGAGACTGAAAAGTCAAACCGCTGCTTCTAAACCCAAACCAACAGACGCGTAACTGTAAGTCAGTCCAAACCTCCAAAAAACCCCAAAAGACTAATCAGCTGCTGAAGACAGATTGTAACTAACAGCAGCTCTCGGAGACATTTTCAGTCTGGACCCAAAAGAAACAAAATCATCTGCTGAGGAATTTAACATGAGATCCATCAGAGGCCGCCCGGCGCCCGCCTGCAGCGAGAACATGAAGCTGCGCCCTGAAGTTTTCATCAGCTTCTTCTTTGTGTGTTTGTGGTTCCCAGTATGCCATGCGAACGATGCAGTTCACGGAGGAGAACATCGGGGAGATCCTGCGCCTCCTGGCCGGGGTCCTTCACACAGGGAACATCGAGTTCATGACGGCCGGAGGAGCACAGGTCTCCTCCAAATCAGGTCAGAGAGTTTCTCCTCATGTACCACACCTTCCTCTGCTCACACCTCCTCTCACCTCAGTCTCCTTCACTGTCACTTTCAGTGTTTTTCAGCTTCCTATTTGCTTTCCTGCCAGGTTGGGACTTTCCTCACAGGAATAAAGACAGCATTTGTTATTATATGTCTGCCCTATGTTTATATTAACCTGAGAAGGACCTCTAGTGGTCATGTGAATTGTTGTTGATCAGGTATAAAGGTGTAAGAAGGGTGGCTTTGTTAGTTGCAGTGCAAAACCTCATAGGGAGAAATTCAAGTATTGTTAAATATATTGTGCAAAAAATGCGTTTAAAGTATGGTCATAAAAACTATGGTTGCTGTTATCAGTTGTTATTACCATTATTATAATTCAGACAGGGCAAACTGCACCTACCAGACTGCCAGAAAGTGCATACCCAGCACTTCCCCAGATGTTTTAAACACATGGCTGATGTTGGGTAACGGTAGCAGTTTGGTCAGCTTTAGGCACCAAAACTACTTGCTTAGGTTTAGGAAAACATCAGGGTTTGGGTTAAAAAATAAGTGCATTAAGTAACTTTGTCAACATTGACTTTTGGTCGCACACGGGACACAAACGGCGGATTCCTGGGTGAAAGTCCTGTGTTTGTTTGACTTATCCATCGATCCACTTGACCTCCCCCTTACCTGGATTGTGTTGCTCTTTCTACTACGTCACCTGACTCCTTCTTTTGCTTCCTTCATAATTACTGTGGCCACCGGGGGTCACAGCCTAAAAATAAATGTAAATATAGGAGGTAGAGTAGGGCTACACAACCTCAAAATTATGCTCCCGATGACAGCTATTAACATTCAAACGGGCTGGTATGGTTGGGTCAAAAAGCATTTGACTTTGACATCAGAGACCTCTGTTTGTTTCCAAGCCAATGTTGGTGTCTTTTAACTATGACCATTATCTTTCCCTGGCTTTACCAACTAGTTTTCGTGCTTACCAAACCCAAACCATAAAGCTGGCTGCTCAGAAAATGTCAGAATAAATGTTGTAACTAAGGAATGATTTTTTTTAAGAAACTGACAAACAATACGCACTTATATGTGTCAATTTGGAAGACAATAAAACATGACCCTCAGTATGTTGTTGTTTAGTTTAGCTTGTTGCAATCATGTTCACTGACTGAGCTGGATGAATTATTTTGCTGTTCAATGTGTGTTGAAATTCTCATTTCTGAAGTCTCTGATGATGAGGTCTGTGTGTCCTTTACAACAGCAGCTCTCACCCGGACGTCTGACCTGCTGGGGCTGAACCCAGATCAGCTGGCTGAGGTCCTGACTCACCGGTCCATGATCCTCAGGGGCGAGGAGATCTGCACACCACTCACTGTGGAACAGGTGAGTAAACTCCAGTCACTACACGGTCCATGTTAATGTGTTTATAGACTCCCAGTGAACACATTTGTGAATTTTCAGGTAAAATCTGAGATTTGGTGAAAGTTTTTAGACAATTATATCTAACCAGGTTATATGTATAAACAGTGGAAAATCCAATATCTTATGATCTCAGAGCTCATGGTGATGGTCCTCAAATGTGTTGTTTTGTCTGACCAGCAGTGAGAAACTGCTATAAAAAATTATATTCAGCTAAAGGAATACTTCATCCCTTAAATGATCATTTGAATATCAATTACTCACTAACTGTTGCAATGAATTCATGAAAAAAACATTTTTCTCATGTGCCTCCACGGTGAATGAAGAATCCAAAAAATGGGTTCACGTTCAACAACAGCAAAACCATATCAAAACTGCTTATCTCGGATACACCAAAGTTACACAATAACAAAAACAAACTACCAATCGAGGCGGAGGTAGACCAGCAGCTCCCGTGTTCGGCAAGGTAAAATATAATTATGCTGTTGTTAAACTCAGACTCTTACAACTTTAATTCATCAACAATTTTCTCAGTTTTTGGATTTTTCGTTCACCGTGGAGGAATTTGAGAAAAGTGAAGTTTTCTTAACAAATGCAAGATAACACTGGATGAGTAGTTGAAATACAAATGGTCATTTAAGGGGTGAAGTATTCCTTTATCAATGATCTAAAACAGAGAAGGGCAGCAAATTTGAGGAGATAAAATAAGGGAGTGTTTGGCGTTTTACTTGAAAAACAGATTCTTTTATTTTCAGCCGTTTGTCGTAAAATTATTTGACAGCAAGTTGAATTGTTTCAGCTGTAAGTCAGAGTGAGAGTTTCCTTACAATAGATGTAGATATATCCATAAACCTAAAGCCCACTTATCAGCACTATAACATTTAGAGCCTCAGCAGCTCATAGTCACAAAGTCAACAAACATCAGTGAGAACAATGAATCTAATTTTAGCATGAGCAGGTTTAGTTTGTGTGCTATGTAGGTTGGACAAAACAAACACAGAGCAAACAATTGTTTTAACTTTCCGGATATTCTCTTGTTGTTGCTGTTGCGTGACGACCGCAACCTCTGAGAGCCTGCAGGAGCTGTGAGTTCAGCTCTGAACTGTTTATCATGAGTCTGTAGGTAACTGGGTTCATGTTAAAACACCAACAGGCGGTTCACGTGTTGTCGCTGATTCAGCAGTGGCTCTCAGGAGGTAAACACAACAGACAGGTTTCTGTGGAGGGGATACACTCATCATCCTTTGTTTTTGCTTTCTTTTGTTTCTGTTGCTCAATGAGCATTGTCTTTGGTAATTAAGCTGATAATATAACATAAATTTACACAGACTTACTTATGTATTTTTAGGAAAATTCTGCATTGTATATCTTAAACGTTGCATTTAAAAGTATAATCCAACAAGAGCCGTAAGTTTTGAATACACAAAAAAAGGAGTATTTACATGCACTTTATTTAAGTTTATCTTGCAAGTAATTTTCTGTACATGTAACATTTCATTTTTATTTATTTATTTTTTTTCTTAAGATTATTTTTTGGGGCTTTCTGCCTTTAATCGACAGGACAAATTGAAATGGGGTGAGAGAGAGAGAGTGGGGGTTGACATGCAGCAAAGGGTTGCAAGCCAGAGTCGAACCTGCGACCATACGTGGGGCGCCGGCAAGTGATAGGCACTATAAAACATTGTGAAACTGTCTCACTTTGGTTAGGTTTAGGCAACAAACTGCTTGGTTAGGTTAAAATAAAGATTATAGTTTGGGTTAAAATAAGTACATTTATTACATATGTAAGTTCGTAATGTAATGTGGTACCTAACCACCTCACGTACATGATGCAACATCATCATCCTTTTCCACTGCACAAAACACCCACTAACTCCAGCTAACACCTGTCTTTTTAATGTAAGGAAAAGGTTACAATTGGTATTCACACCCAGGTTATATGACTCTGCAGTAGTCAACAGTTTTTATCAGCTCCAGCTCTGATTGGCATTGATGGAAACACCCGGGTGAACATGCTAATGTTAGCCCCTTAATCAGCGAGATGTAATGACATGCCATGAGAGAGAGTGCATAAGTAAGAAATATATAAAAAGAAACCACTGTAACATTCTCACTGGCTTGCATGCTGCTTTCTACTGTTTATTTACCTGGCAACAAAAAGAAAACAAAAAACCCAAACACAGAAAGGTATGCTCATCTGTTGCAGAGCCGTGTACAAAGCTCTGATATACTGGCAATAGGAAAGGAAAGGAAAGGTTATAAAACCCACATACATACGCTAGTTTTAATGGAAAAGAGGAACTGGTTTCACACAAGACACAAACAGCAGTTTCTTGTGTCAGAGTCCTGTGTTTGTTTGAATCCCATCCATCCACCCAGACCACCTCCCTATGCAGACTTTGTTGCTCTTTATACTGCCTCACCTGACTTCCTCATTTACTGCTGTCATAATTATTATGGCCACTAGAGGTCGCTTCCTAAGAATAAACTTAAATATGGGTCATATTAAGGTGCTTGCACAGACGACCTCTAAGGCCATTTTTGGGGGAGTAATACAGTAGTATAATATGATAATGTAAAACAAGTAATGCATGACTGAACTCTTTTTTGTAAACATAATAACTGTGCATTGTTTGAGTGATATGTCTTTCTTCTGCAGGCGGTGGACTCCAGAGACTCCATGGCCATGGCACTTTATTCTCAGTGTTTCAACTGGATCATTCGCAAACTCAACAACCGCATCAGGGGCAGAGAAGACTTCAAATCCATCAGCATCCTGGACATCTTTGGGTTTGAGAACTTCGAGGTGTGTTTGAACTGCGTAGAAGAAATTCACAGTAAACACTTTTAACACTTAGTAATGAAACAATTTACCCTACAAACAAAACCAATTAAACCAACAACTCAGGGATCCCAGTATTTTCTTTGTGTGTCTGATATGAACCTTGAATGTTAATATTCTCTCAGGGATAAATAAAGTTTATTAAATTCAACTGAAGTAAATTAAATTTGAAACCCTCACACGAGCACTTTCAATTAAACTCAACAGCATGACCTTTAATTCTCCCTTTCTGGAGTATTTTAATCATATTTTAATTGTTAATCAGGGAAATCAGTAAATACACCTCAGGGTTTTCTTGTTCTTTGCTTCATTAACTCTCTGTCTGTGTTTTCTGTGTCTAATATCTGCCTAATTCTGTTCCCCACAGGTCAACCGCTTTGAGCAGTTCAACATCAACTATGCAAATGAGAAGCTTCAGGAATATTTTAACAAGCACATTTTCTCCCTGGAGCAACTTGAGTACAACAAGTAGGTGGAGGCTGTTTACTCGAGATGAATCGTTCTGTTTTTCACTCCAAAAGTCGGCTGATGTTGCTCTGCGTTTCCAAATGCAGTTCATTACTTTGGCCAAAATGTTGTTTTATAACAAGACTTTAAAGTCTAATTTAACATTTTTATGCTGTTAGCTGTTGGATGACGTTGCCTATAAAGGCAGAGAACATCAGTACGGTTTATTTTAAAAGGGGTTTCAAGTTTTCAGTAAAACTGTGTAACAAATAAGTTGAAATACCTTTGTTTTAATAAGGCAATATAATCCTTTGTTGGCTTATTAGTTCAACATTACCTCAAAAATAGTTGGCCTAACTCATACATAATACCTACAATATATGGACACGGGCTACACTCTGTTGGACAGTTTAAAGGAACCGTGTTAGTTTGAGCTAGTTCACTTACTTCAGGGATAACTCTTCCTTCTATGTGTCGAAATCAATATAATAAATTTTCTGTAACTTGTTAAATTCAAAAATGTGATTTAAAGGGAAAGTTAGGATGTTTTGAAGCAGTTTTGTATGAGGCCATTGAAAAAAACAGTAATTAAACATTGCTGAACACAGGAGCTGCCGGTCTACCACTGCCTCGATTGCTTAGTTTGTTTGTGTTATTGTGTAACTTCAACATTTCAAAGTGTTATTTGGGATTTACCAAAGTCACACAACAAAGCAAACTAACTGATTGAAGCAGCAATAGACCAGCAAATCCCGTGTTCTGCAAAGTAAAGTTACTGTTTTTTTCAATGGAGTTTGGTGGTTTTAAAGAGAGCGGAGACAGGGAAAGGAAGCCATTAACATGCATCAAGATAAAGCCTTAAAATTCTCAATATAGTGTACACTTAAACTGATATTTAGTCAGGACCACTTTTGTCAAACAAAACATTTCCATTGCAGTATTATATTTGGAGATATGGCTTTGTTCTGGGGCCTCTCAGCCTTTCCTTGGGCCTACACATAAAGCCCTTCTGCATGTCTACGCAGAAAGCCTAAGGCGGAGAGAGCAAACCTCTCTGCCCTTCCACATGCAAACAAGGAAAGCCTGAGGCAGAGAGAGCAAACCTCCCTGCCCTTCTGCGTGCCTGCATGGAAAGCCTAAGGCAGGGAGAATAGCAGTAAAGACCCCCCAGGAACAGAACAGAGCAGCATCAATGACAAACAGAAATGACACTGATAAGTCAGGCACAACATGAAAAGGAGGAGCTGGGGTGGAAGCTATGCTAAATCTGACTTTGTAGGTGGTTAAGATATGTTTTGCTGCTGACTCCATCCACTTGAGCTTAGTTTTTGTGTCAGTACTCCAGCCTGCTTCTCCAAACTGGGGGCTTGCTGACTGAAATCTCCTGTATGTCATACACTGACTATGGATAAGTACCTCATACAACCCTACTGCAAAAGATATAAACTATCCCTTTAAAGTATCTTAACCAAATCATGCTGACTCTAGAGTGCTAATGTTTGAGTTAGAGGCTGAAATGGCAATTAAGCTACTGCCATGCTGCTTTGAGAAAGACTAGTTTAGTGGGTATTACTTGTGCATTGATGAAGGTTGATCAACCTTTAAATGTTTTTAATCCTGAATAAAATCACTCTTTCAAAACTGGAGCATGTTCAGAATGAATACGAGAAAGATGTAAGTAAGTAAGTAAGTAAATTTTATTTATATAGCACTTCTCACAGAGAGGATTCACAAAGTGCTTCACAAGATAAAATACAAAAAATACAATAACAGAAACAATGCAAAATACACAAAAACAAATAAAAAGTAAAGTGCAGCGAAATACAGAGATGATACAATGGACAATTAATGGAACGCAAGCCTAAACAGATGTGTTTTTAACTGCTTTTTAAAAAGCAGCTTTTTAAAGGCTCTATCACCTTTCGTCTTTAATCTTGTGTGAGGGACAGTAAGTAGGTGGCCTTCAGCAGACTGCAGTGACCTGACAGGACAGTGAAAGGACACCAGATCTGTCAAGTATGCAGGTGCTTGACCATGGAGGGCTCTGTAAGTGATGGTTAGAATCTTGTGCTGGATCCTGAAATTAACAGGGAGCCAGTGCAGGGATGCCAGGACTGGAGTGATGTGAGTGAACTTATGAGATCTGGACAGAAGACTGGCGGCAGCGTTCTGGACCAGCTGGAGGCGGTCTAATGAAGTTTTATTTAGACAGGTGAAAAGAGAATTACAGTAATCCAGACGTGAGGAAATAAAAGCATGGATGATCATTTCTAGCTCGGAATAAGTTAACATGGATCTGAGTTTGGAAATGTTTTTGAGGTGGAAAAAGCAGGAGCGAGTGACAGTTTTGATGTGGTCATCGAAGAGCATGGCCTGATCAAATGTGACCCCAAGGTTTCTCAACTTGGGGCGCACATTTGCACTGAGGGACCCTAAGCAGCTGGCCACTTTAGATGCTGAGGCATCAGGTGCAATAATTAAAATCTCAGTTTTAGCTGCGTTCAACTGAAGGGAGTTAGAAGACATCCAGTCCTTAATTACATTCATACAATCGTACAGTGAGTCAATTCCATCGGTCCTATCAGGGTTAAAAGAAAAATATAACTGGAGGTCATCTGCATACATATGGTATGAGATACCTTCAAAATTGCTGATGACATCTCTGAGAGGGAGCATGTATAGCGTAAAGAGGATAGGCCCAAGCACTGAACCTTGGGGCACCCCGCAAGAAAGGGGGGCAAACTCTGATTTATGAGGGCCAACAGCCACAGAAAAGGATCGATCAGACAGATAGGATTTAAACCAATGAAGAGCGGTCCCTGAGATTCCTACCCTGTCCCTCAGCCTGTCTAAAAGGATGTGGTGATCAACAGTGTCAAAGGCTGCACTGAGATCAAGCAGAACCAGGATAGTGGATTTACCGGCATCGGAGGCCATCATGATGTCATTGGAGACCCTGAGAAGAGCAGTTTCTGTGGAATGTAACTGACGATAACCGGACTGAAATTTATCTAAGATATTGTAACTGTTCAACGCTGTCACTAACTGGTTTGCAACTGCTTTTTCTAGAATCTTAGATACAAAGGGCAGCTTGGAAATGGGCCGGTAGTTACTAAGAACAGCGGGGTCCAGATTGGGCTTTTTGAGAAGCGGCTGAACAAGATGTCACAAGGCTGAACAAGATGTCACTGAAGGTCGTTGACCCTTCAGTCTCACTCTTCAACACTGCCTTGCTTTGGCTAAGCTAACATGGAAAATCCGAGCCCTGCACAGTGTAGCCTGCCAAATATTGTGATTTCACATATACACAAAACATCATGTCTCATCCACTCTCACCAAATTGTTACCTGATGTTTCTCAGTATTTAGAAAACACAGCTGATGAGGTCAGCGGCCTGAAGGCAGTCGGTCCGCTGCTCCACCAACATCTCAACAACTTTGTAATTTGCAGAGCTGCAGCCTCTGAAAGTGTTTGGCTGTGTTTGTCTTCTGGGTTGGATGTTTTTGTATTAAACAGAACAAGAATGCTGTTTGCTGCCAACCTGGAAGTCCTGATTGTAGGATGTAGCTACCTGCACACGAACACAGCATCTGTTCACCACAATCGTTTCATTGCTATTTGAAAAATTGCAAAAAGTAGTAGTCAGGGGTGCAAATGTATTGCTGATGGAGGTTAAAAGTCACTGAAAGACTCGAAGAAGGCCTAATAGTGGGTTTACTTTCATGCTGTCCATTTATTCATTTGCTTTTGTAAAATGTCTCTGACACCTGGTGTTTTTGGCTGCTTCCTGTAGGGAAGGCTTGATTTGGGTCGATATCAACTGGATGGACAACGGAGAGTGTCTGGATCTGATTGAGAAGGTATGAGGGGTGTGACAAAAGTCTTGCTTGACTTGGAACTGAAGTTATGCACAGAAGGACACAGGATGATGCTGTTGGTGATAAAGATTGTGTCTATGATACCTGCTCTTTATTATATGATTAAAAAATAACAATAGAAGCGGTGAGGATAAGGACAACCAAGGTGATGATGATATCAATCATAATGATGACGATCTCTCCATGTTTCCATAGAAACTGGGTCTCCTGGCTCTGTTGAACGAGGAGAGTCACTTCCCCAAAGCCACAGATGACACCTTGCTGGAGAAACTCCACAGCCAGCACTCGGTACGTCTCCGTCTGACACATCTCAGTCGACCATTTCACCTTTCAGCATGTTTTTAACTGCGAGATTCTACTTCTTATTCACAACTCAAAAGCATCTCGTCAATGGCTGAAATGTAGTACGACACTTAGTTCTCTAATGGCAGAGTGACAGTGGATACAGACACAAGCCCTTTTTAGACAGGAACTGTGCAAATTTGCAGGAAAGCCCAATCAGTCTTTTTTCAGCATTGGCAGTATAAGCGTGTGACGTAAACAGTGACGTGGGAGGGAAGCCACAGCTGGTCAGTCCTTCGGCGATTCTCTCGTAAGTCAGCCAGTTCTTCACCGTCCCCGTCATCTGACGGTTAATGGCCTCTTCGTTTGCGAGGACAAGGAGGGCGCGCAATTCCTTGTCTCCCCAGTTGCTCATCTTTACAGTGTCTGTCAGGTTTGTGTTTCCCTCTTGCTACTAGCTGCTCGCTAATTCCTGCTATCAGCTGTTTCCTGTTTATCCATCGTCAGTGACTCGCACGTGCGGCGTCATCAACAGCTCCTCCCACAAGTCTTCAACAGCCCCTCCCGTTGCCGAAGGCCGTCTCCATCTGTTTAAACTAAAAAGGTTCCGCCAATATGTCTACCCTACAAGGCAGAAAATTGGGCACCTCAGATCAACTCGCCAATCCGGCTCTGTGTGTCTAAACGCTCGCAGCTTGCCAGCAAAACGGCCCAACGTTCGCCAAAAATCTGGCAGTGTAAAAGGGGCTATAATGTCACTGTTTGAGATAATTCTCTGAGCTGCAGAGACTTCAGACAGAAGTGAGAAAAGCAGTGAAAAAGTTCAGATTTAAGAGAGGAAGGTAGTGGTAGAGGAAGGTAATGCCATGAAGCCTGGACTTCTACCAATTTAAAAAACATGAATCAGTGCATCAAAGATTTCAAGTCATCATCTCAAGTGAGCTGATCTCTCGCAGTGGCATGAAGACTGTAACCACTGCATTCATCTCCTCAAGGCTTGACTATTGCAACTCTACAACTCTGTACCTGAGTGTTGGCCAACCTGCAGCTAACTGCAGCGAGGCTCCTCACTGATGCCAGCAAAAGAGACAGCATTACACCAGTGCTAGCATCCCTGCACTGGCTACCTATCAGATACAGGATTGATTTTAAGGTACATGGGCTCGCACCCCAGTCCATTGCCGAACTTCTCTACCCGTACTCCAACTCTCGACCTTGAACTTAGAACAATGTCTTTTAACTTTTCACCTTCTTGCCTGGTACGGTCACCTAAACTGTAGCTCTATAGTTGGGGTTTGCTATCGTTGGCAAACCCCCAAAACCTAAAACCTTTTTATAGAAAGGACGAGGAGGAAAGCTGTTTGTTTTATTAACTACTTGTCTCTTTGTTTGTTTGTTGAGCCAAGGACAGATTTTTATCTTGGTGGACAATAAAGATATATTCTGTTCTATCAGACTTTATGAGTTCATATTATCCCTAAAAGCTCAGTCAGTCATCACAAATGAGCATTCATTCAGAATTATTTTGACAGACTTCATGAATGAAAAAATATAACATAAAATATCAGATCTAATTTACGTTACTCATGCAGTCAGAGTTTATGTTTAGTTGAGTCACTGCGGTCAGTGAGGTTCAATGCAACCTTAAAGCTATGGCGTCTCCATGGGGGCAGATGTTTGAATATTAAACTGCCGCGTCCACACTTTATCACAGGAAAAAACAGCAGCATGACAAAGGTCACCGCTTTGTTTTGTCTGGAAATAACATGACAAACAATCTGAACCACGGCCTCAGAATTTCATCAGGGGATCATCAAACCATTTACTAATGAAATCAGGAACCTGACAGTTTATATTTCAGCGTTCTGTGGTAAAAGTCACAGCTGCAGGTACATCTTTAATGTTGTTTGCATCTGTCACAAACAGGATGCTGATCCCAGTCAAGCTCTTGGCTTTTGAATGTGGGCCAAACAGCTTGACTTGATTGAAACACTGATGTGACTGCAAGTAGTAAAGATGTAGAAGTCTTTAATTTGAATAAATTTGAGCGCTCGTAAATATTTGAGTGAATATTTTCTTGGCTGCGATCCGAGCGGAGCTTTACAGCCTCGTTAAACTGGATCACGATCGAATAAAGGACTATTTGTTATTTCCAGAGACATGAAGATTGTTAAAAGGGGCTTTAAAGGGCAATCACAGTGGGCGTCAATCACAGAATAACTTGACAGTTTTTGTCTCGGAGCGACTGATTTTCTTATTTTACAACAGTGGTAAGAACAAAGTTTCGTGCAGGTATGATTTGAATGGACAGTTGATCAGCTCAGCTGTCAGGAACCAGCTGTTGAAAAGTTTACAGATGTGATTTTAAGGACTGTTTGTCAAAAGTAATTAATGTTTCCTTTCTATTGCTGCAGAAAAACTCTTTCTATGTGAAACCACGTGTTGCTGTGCACTACTTCGGAGTCAAGCACTATGCAGGAGAGGTAAGATACTCTCGGTACTTTTTTTTATTTTAGTATAGCTGTGTAAAGAACATAGTTTTCATATTAAAGAAGAACTTAAAGCTGATGACTTTAAACTGAATATCTGTAGGAAAACACACGTCCATGGGCTGCTCCTCTTTTCTTTGTTCCTGTGAAACTCTCTGACGCCCCCTTGTGGTCTTTTGCAGGTGGTGTAAGATGTGAGGGGGATGTTGGAGAAGAACAGAGACACTTTCAGAGATGACATCCTCAACCTGCTGAGGGAGAGCAGGTAGATTTTTGTATTTCTTACATTTCTTTATCAAGGTAGAAGCTTGTGGAGGCTTCATCCTACCGACTGTTATAATTTACATTAAAATTATCCTGCTCTTCTGTGCACGACTCTGCAGCTTGACCTGGTAGAATCTGTTGAAACTTTGCAGACTGCACCTTTTTTTTTTTAGCTGCGACCAGCTGCTCTGTAGCTCGTCCTGTCAGTCAGCTGAGAAAAGTCTCCCCACCCTTTGACAGCCACAGTTTTTGCTAAAGCAACAACCAGACAGGACATCTGCACACTGTATTAAAAGCTCCCAGTAGTTTAGTGGTAGTTTAGTTCCCCCAGTAATAATGCCTGATGAAGATCTGTGATAGACTGAAGCGTTGCACAATTAAAACAACTGGGAGCTTTTGATACAGTGTGCCGATCTCCAGCCTGGTTCCTGCTTTTGTTTGATTTTTTTGATCCAGCACCTGTAGGAGTTTTCTGCATGTGCGTGCCCTCCACCCAGCTTGTTCATGGTGCCCACACTCCCAGTGGGTGGCAGCTTCCTAATGGGTTCACAGACTCACCAAAGATTTTGATTTTACGCAAAGATGATCATGAGCCAAAGGAAAACTCATTAGCTGTTCATGTCAGTTGGCAAAAAGGGGCAACGCATGGATGAATGCATGCATATGTGGTCCCAACTATGAGCTTGTTTTACAGCTATTGTTGTCAAGTAATAATCAAAACTGAAAAATTAGAAGTTTTTATTCCTTTGTGGGATTTAAATATCATAATTGAATTGTTTTTTGACTTTATTTTGTGTTGACTAGTATTAGACTAAACTTCTTCAAGAAGGAATGATGACATTAACTTTGAATAATATTAAATTAACAATTCTGTAAATGGACTTCATCATTGGTACATCATCAGTCACATTTGGGTAAAACCATTTTAACTGCAGTTACTGTGAGTATGCAGCTCTTGTCCTGTCCTGTCCACATATGTGTTTGTTAATGTTTATACATATCCCACAGCATGTGTATGTAGTCTGAGTATTTCCTTTTGTCGTGTCAGGTTGGATTTTGTCTACGACCTGTTTGAACACGTATTGAGCCGAAACAAACAGGACACTCTGAAGAGCACCTCCAAACACCGACGGCCCACCGTCAGCTCCCAGTTTAAGGTGAGTCACACGTTAACAACATGTTTACTGCTGAGTCTTCATCAAGAACTTTCAGCGCTAAATAACATGACTGAGTACTGAAACACAGCACAGCTCTCTGATCGTGCATCTTATTTTTAGTCAGTCAGTTCTGATGCTGGTAGTAGTCCAAATCATATTAGTGTTAGCAGCAGTGGTACTATAGTAGTGGAGGTAACAGTGGCAGTGGCAGAGGCAATAAAACCAGTGGTAGTAGTACTTACTTTTGTGTTGTTAGTGGTAATAGCAGTAATATTTGCAAAAGCAGAAGTAGCAGTCTTAATATTGTTACTTATTAAATTGCTGTTCTGCAGTAATAAGCAATAACTGGTAGTTATGGTGGAAGTAAGAGTTGTTGCAATGGTAGTTGTAGTAGTAATAGGAGCCATTTGTTATACTAGAAGTAGAAGTGGTAATTACTAATCAACCATTGCCTCTCTAATGTAATTGAACCCCCTTTTACCAGCCCCGCCCCCTTTTTCTTTCATCCTGACCACTGTAAAGGCTTGTAGGCAATGTGTTCATCAGGCAGAAGTATTTAAAATGTAATTTATTATTATTCATTAATATGCTTGGACGTTACCTGGCTAACTGAGTAATCCTGCTTGGTGCAATATCCCCACCTGGAGTTTCTGAAGGCAGCTGTCTGACTGGTGGACAATGAATACAACACCAAATCTGACATACCTGCATTTTCCCATAAATTGTTGGCAGAGATGGGCAAAAATACATCAAAATGTATTTTGATACAAAATACAAAATACCCCTCAAATAAATGTATCAAAATAAAATACAAAATACTGGTGCCAGAAAATGTGTCAAAATAAAATACATGTATTTTGTATTTTCAAATACAGAAAATACTTTTTTCTTTTTCTTTTTAGCAGCGACCCACAGCTCTATAAGTCACTCTGTTGGTCGGTTGGTCGTTCCACAAAGCTTTTCGTGAATAACTCAAAAAGTCCTTGACCAAAAATGCTCAAAATTTACATACGGCAACTGGAGACCATAACTATACCAGAAAGAATGCCCACGATTCGTCCATAGGTGGCGCCATACTAACCGATTCAAATCTTTTTGTGAGTAACTCAAAAAGTCCTTGACCAAAAATGCTCAAAAGGTACATGCTGCAATTCAAGACCACAAGTAACTATGCCAGAAAGAACAACCATGATTCAGCCATTAATGGCGTGATAGTAGCAAATTTGGTCGCAGCTATTGCAAATTTGCGCTTGTTTTTTCACAATTTGGTGTAGCAGAGTATTCAGATATACAAAAAGCTCTGGTGAACCCCACAAAAAGGCAGAACAGTCACAGAACTAACTAAGTGTAACTAAGCAAAGCCATTAAAAGACAACAACTTGATTATGTATATATATATTTATTAACCAGACTTAACAGCCCATAAAAATGTGAAGCCTATTATTTTTGTTTTTTGATTCGTGGAGAAAGTATTTTGAGTATTTTAAATACAAAATTACTCCACTCAAAATATTTTGTTACAAATTACATTTGCTTTTTATCGGCCTTATCAAATACAAATTACAAAATACTCAAATGTAATTGAAATACATACAGTACAGGCCAAAAGTTTGGACACACCTTCTCATTCAATGCGTTTTCTTTATTTTCATGACTATTTACATTGTAGATTCTCACTGAAGGCATCAAAACTATGAATGAACACATGTGGAGTTATGTACTTAACAAAAAAAGGTGAAATAACTGAAAACATGTTTTATATTCTAGTTTCTTCAAAATAGCCACCCTTCGCTCAGATTACTGCTTTGCACACTCTTGGCATTCTCTCCATGAGCTTCAACAGGTAGTCACCTGAAATGGTTTCCACTTCACAGGTGTGCCTTATCAGGGTTAAGTAGTGGAATTTCTTGCTTTATCAATGGGGTTGGGACCATCAGTTGTGTTGTGCAGAAGTCAGGTTAATACACAGCCGACAGCCCTATTGGACAACTGTTAAAATTCATATTATGGCAAGAACCAATCAGCTAACTAAAGAAAAACGAGTGGCCATCATTACTTTAAGAAATGAAGGTCAGTCAGTCCGGAAAATTGCAAAAACTTTAAATGTGTCCCCAAGTGGAGTCGCAAAAACCATCAAGCGCTACAACAAAACTGGCACACATGAGGACCGACCCAGGAAAGGAAGACCAAGAGTCACCTCTGCTTCTGAGGATAAGTTCATCCGAGTCACCAGCCTCAGAAATAGCAAGTTAACAGCAGCTCAGATCAGAGACCAAATGAATGCCACACAGAGTTCTAGCAGCAGACCCATCTCTAGAACAACTGTTAAGAGGAGACTGCGCCAATCAGGCCTTCATGGTCAAATAGCTGCTAGGAAACCACTGCTAAGGAGAGGCAACAAGCAGAAGAGATTTGTTTGGGCCAAGAAACACAAGGAATGGACATTAGACCAGTGGAAATCTGTGCTTTGGTCTGATGAGTCCAAATTTGAGATCTTTGGTTCCAACCGCCGTGTCTTTGTGAGACGCAGAAAAGGTGAACGGATGGATTCCACATGCCTGGTTCCCACTGTGAAGCATGGAGGAGGAGGTGTGATGGTGTGGGGGTGTTTTGCTGGTGACACTGTTGGGGATTTATTCAAAATTGAAGGCACACTGAACCAGCATGGCTACCACAGCATCCTGCAGCGACATGCCATCCCATCCGGTTTGCGTTTAGTTGGACGATCATTTATTTTTCAACAGGACAATGACCCCAAACACACCTCCAGGCTGTGTAAGGGCTATTTGACCAAGAAGGAGAGTGATGGAGTGCTGCGGCAGATGACCTGGCCTCCACAGTCACCGGACCTGAACCCAATCGAGATGGTTTGGGGTGAGCTGGACCGCAGAGTGAAGGCAAAGGGGCCAACAAGTGCTAAACACCTCTGGGAACTCCTTCAAGACTGTTGGAAAACCATTTCAGGTGACTACCTGTTGAAGCTCATGGAGAGAATGCCAAGAGTGTGCAAAGCAGTAATCAGAGCAAAGGGTGGCTATTTTGAAGAAACTAGAATATAAAACATGTTTTCAGTTATTTCACCTTTTTTTCTTAAGTACATAACTCCACATGTGTTCATTCATAGTTTTGATGCCTTCAGTGAGAATCTACAATGTAAATAGTCATGAAAATAAAGAAAACGCATTGAATGAGAAGGTGTGTCCAAACTTTTGGCCTGTACTGTATTTTAAATACAAGTGATAGAAATACTGCCCATCCCTGATTGTTGGGAAATTTCTTTTTTGGTTTATGACCAGTGAACACTGAGGTAGAAACACTGGTAGTATCAGTTGTACCATTGTATCAGTGGTAGTATAATTATTAGAGTAGAAGTATTGGTGATGGTAATGCTCGTGGAGTATTTAAGATCAAGTTATTACAGTTTCAGTAATAGTTATCTTATTCCAAAGCAATAAGTAGTAGTAGAAAACAGTTATGATGGTAATACAACCTCTGCTATGAACAGACAGTAGCAATAATAGCAGCACCAGTAGTAACACAAGTGTGTGTTTTGTTGCAGGATTCTTTGCACTCCTTGATGGCCACACTCAGCACTTCTAACCCGTACTTCATCCGATGCATCAAACCAAATAGAAACAAGGTGAGCGCTGATATTCACACACACACACACACACACACACACACACACCATTTTGCACACCAGTACCACAATGTGTGTGTGTGTGTGTGTGTGTGTGTGTGTGTGTGTGTGTGGATAGTTTGTCATTTTAATAATCAAGCAGTCCTCCCCCACCAACCAGCCGCAGACAGGAATGAGAAGCGTCTGGCCCCTTTGGCGCCCTTTGACCCCGCGTTGCTTAGCAACAGGCTGGAGTAGCGGAGAATGCGGGGATAATGTACACAAATGATATACAGGCAGGAGTGATGGGATTCACCGTGCGCACTGTGACTCCATACTCACAGAATATTGCATTTTATTTATGTTCACCGAGTGATGTGGAGTTTAACCATCTGATAGATACGTGTTTAGTCCAGAATATGAACAGAGGATCCAGGTGGTGTGAAACAGAAATGAGTAGAAACCCTCTGTGAATTGAAACTGAGGCAAGTAGAGCATGACATTAGATTGTGTGTTTGCTTGATTGACAGCTGTCTCTGCTTATCACACTCAGTCGTGGTTGTTTCTGCTTCCTCGCCCCACCGCAGCACCAACCAGGCTCCACTGTCTTTGTTCTACATTTTATTTCTGGCTTGTAATTGGAGAGATGACGTGAAAGCATCCCCTCAGGGTGACGTCACATGTCTGCGGTTTGAAATCCTCCAGGCTGCCAGAGGACTGACTGACTCATTGGCAGGACTATACTAAGATCTTATCGATATCTGTCTGGGTGCCTCGTTGGCTCATTAGCAACATCACTGCAAACGTCAGATGTGTCAAGTTTAATCCGGTTGACATGGAAACACTCGTATTGATTGCTGATGTCAGTTAATATTGATAGTTCCCATGTCTGGTCGTCAGTGAGGGTCTGCTTCCAGAGAAGTTTTCAGGTGGTGTCAGTCACTCAGGCATGCATATTGGAATTCCTGAGTTCTTGGACAACAGTGGGTATTAACAACCTGTCCATATCAATAGAAATTAATAGAATCCATTCTTTTCCATGTGTTTTGGACGGAGACTTTCAGTGGCAAATCTGAGCTATATCGATTCAGAGAATTAAGGCAGGGTTGTGGTATTGGATTGCATCATATTTTCAGGTGTTCTTGTTATTTTGTCCACCTCCAGTGTGTTCACACCGCTCTGATGTGGACACTTGGAAGTTTGTGACGCAGATGTAGCGCAGATGTAGCGCATCTGTAGCGTCACTGTGAGGAGTTTTTGTGATTGGGGCCGTCATCTGTGGAGAGCTTTGATTCACATGGATACAGAGGCTCCCTCTGTCCGTCACTCTGTGTGTGTGTGTGTGTGTGTGTGTGTGTGTGTGTGTAGGGGGTGTGGTTTCTGATCTTTGTGCATCAGCAGTGTGTGTGAGATGATGTGAGCACAACCTCTTTACTTTTTGAGAACCGACTAAGTTGTGTCCAAACTGTCAAAAACCAAAAGATATACAAAACACATGTTCACCACTTCCTCCTTTTTCCCATTTTACCACCCATTAACATTTCAGACATTTTCCTTTCTTTATAAATGTAAAAGGGGTTTCAGTTGAAGAAGGATTTAGTTTCTATTTAATCTGTATTTAACCATTATCTCCGGCCAAAATGACAGCGTGGAGTCCTCAGCAAAGACATATTAGAAAGACGAAATACTTTATCAATCCCCGAGTGGGAAATTTTATTTTTTTCTCTCTGTTGTCATATACACACACATGCACAAACAGGATCTATACATGCATTAAATGAAGAGACATGCTCAAGTGCACTCTTGATGCTGTTAAGGTGCCAGTTCACCACACTCCATATTTGGTTCATACGGGGACTTGAGCTGGCAAACCTCCAGTTCCCAACCCAAGTCCCTATGGACTGAGCTACTGCCGCCCAATTACATTGCATACTGCACTGTGTTTGTCATTACTTCTCAAAATATCTTTTGATTTGTTTGTAAAAGTCCTGAGTAAAAGCTGAAAATCTTTTACATAATATTTTAATATGATACATTGCCTCGCAATTAGCCATACTCGTTGTAAATAGGGGGCGTGGCTCTACTACAGTCCACTTTAGATGATGTGGAACACTGTGATTGGCTTATAGACATCCCATCATATACGTCTGTGCATTTGGGTGGAGTCAGATGACAGTTATCATAGATCTTGACATTCTAGAAAAGTTATGTCCATTGCACTGGGCGAGGGATCTTAGCAGCTTAAAGAGGAAGATGGAAGATTGAATCATTTTTATACAAATTCACAGGATTTATAGACTTCTATGAAATGAAGGACACCCCTACAACATTCTCGGAACCCATCGGCCTTATTCAGCGTCTGACTTCCAGCAGACGGCGATAAAGCCTCTGGGGGCAGACCCCCGATTTTCTGGCATTCCGGTTTGATTTGGGCAGAGGAGGCGAATTTCCGTTTCCGACTTTCGTTTACATATATGTAAATATGCTGAACCATTGCGATGGATTAAGAGTTTGCAGTGACACCAATTGACCCTTCGCTAAGCCTCTCCCTTAATCAGTTACTGTCCAATCCTACGTTACCAACCGTGTGTAGCAACCGAGAGGTCCGTCAAGCTTTCAGCAGAAGCTAATATGCCGAAGCGGCGTGCATACAGTAACGTTAACTTCAAGTCCGACGCCTGATACCCAAAAAGTGTCGAAGGCGGTGTTGAATTTTTCCCCTTCCCCAAGCCCAAGACCCAAGGAACATATGGCTAAAACAGTGTGGAAGACCACACGAACAGCTGAATCCAGCAAAGATCAATAAAAACACCTATGTCTGTTCCAAGTTAAGATGCTAACTAACATTAGCTAACGCTAGCTTTGTGTGCTAGCTGCTCTCCCTTTGTCTGCCCCAAGGAGGGAACACAACTCAACATTAACTTAAATTTAAACCATATATTGACTTACCCTGCTGTACAAGAACATTCTTTGTCCTTCACGTGACGTGTCAAGACGTGGGGTGCCTGACGCTTGCATTGCAACTGGTGAGCTTTTCCCTCTATTTTAATGTTCTCATGATTTATACTCCGCCAGCAGATGATATTGTGAATGCAGCTCTCACATGCATATTGAAGACCTTTCTGTCAGCTTCTTTCTGATACCTCCGAACAGTTTTTCCATAAATTTGATGTTATTTCCTTTGGGATAACTCTCACTGATATCGCTGAAAACTCCATATTTCTTATGCTAGGAGCGAAAGCTTGACGGACGTGGCAACAGTAACTAAGGGGGGCGGGGCTTAGCGAAGGGTCAATTATGTTCCGCCTCGTTAGTTCACCGCACGGACCGTTTAACCTGGCAACAACTGCAACCAACTCAAAAGTGAATGGTCAATATCAAGCGGACTACAAACAGCCTACAACCGAAAACCAGGGTTCTTCCGCTCTTCTTCCGGAGGCAAGATCTCCGGGGTTTGCCTACAGACTCACTGAATGTAGAGTCTGTAGACTACCCCTACAAACACACACACAAAATACTGTATATGGAGTGAACACTGTAATTGCTGGTTGGTTAGTTTTGAGTCTGTGTGATTCAGGTTGTTATTTTTGTGTCTTAAGACAAGTTGCTTTGCTTAATTTCTTATGAATAGATAGATGAACAGATAGACAGATACACAGATGCACAGATAAGACACACACTCTTGGGTATCTGTCGTGTCCTCTGGGAGACCAGCTGGACAGCCGGCATGTTTTTACGAGGCGAAACCCGACCGTCTGGACTCCTCTTCTGATCGAATGTTAAACAAGGCCTGATGATGACTTTTCAATGGGGCTTAATGTAGTGAGAGAAGGAGGTGTGGGGGGGTGTTTGGGCTTCCCCAGGGGAAACAAGGGTCAGGGCGACACGGCACGTGGCCCCTAAAAGCCCCCGAGAGGCGTCCCTGTCATCTGCCTGTTTGACTGAGCAGGTGTCAGAGGGGAGGAGGGCACGGAGATGGAGGGAGAGAAAAGGATGAGGATGTGGAGGCAAAGTCAAAAACGTGCATCAGACACCTTCAGTTTTAACTTCCAGCTCTTCTTTCTTTCAACATATTTGGAAAGTAAAGACATTTTGGGAAGTGAGGAGAGGTTCATTTACTGAGTAACAGACCAACAGCTATTTTGGGTGCAGCGATGTTGAAAAAGCTGCAGGGTCATGGGACTCCTGCAGATGGTCAGTGGAGTCTCTGGAAATATCAATATATTGATCGAATGTGTAATAGTGCTGACAAACTGTTGGCTCTAAATACAACCAGAACACACAGACAAGCAGGTTTGTGCATTTACTGTACACTCAAATAGTCACACACCAAAGACACAGGAGTCTTAACAGGAAGTTACTTCACCTGTCAGTGGTTTGAATGTTTTGGCTGATCGGTGTGTATGATAAATAAAATGTAAGAATAATGAAATAATAAGAAATAAAACAAAAGCACAAAAATTCTTATTTTGACAAACAAACAAAGACATTACAGTATCACATCTCTGCATGTTAAAATAATACTCCAAATACCTCAAATCAACCTTGTTTTTTTCTGTATTTGTTTACCTTTTAACTTTGTATTCATGTATTTGAATACTTTGTGTGTGTCTGCTTATAAGCCGACAGTCACAAGTAGAAATCGGTTTGGATAAAGGATGCTCAGCAGGCAGATGTCGGCATTTACAGACATTTTCCTTTGTGTCTGTGTCACCACAACAACTCCAGCACACACACACATACACACACACACATAAAAAGCTGTCATCCTCAACATCTACGCTCATCAAATGCAGTCGCCTGTCACCACAGAAATTCCATCCTTTCTGCAGGCATTACATTGTTTGTGTGTGTGTGTGTGTGTGTGTGTGTGTGTGTGAGAGAGAGTGTGTTTTGACAGTAATTACAACCGATGATGGAGACTGATCAGAGTCTATTGATTTTGACTGAACCTGTGTTGACAGCATTATGGGTTTTTGTGTCCGTAGAACAAACTGCATACCATACAGACACACACACGT